GTTAATAATTGAATATTTATATTCTAAGATAGCCAAAGTTAAATCAGCAATATCGGGACTGGCATTAAACTATCGAATTGTTATAATTTAATGTCAGTCCCGATATTGCTGACTTAACTTTGGCTATCTTAGAATATAAATAAATTATCGAGTCAAACACAATAATTTATATTCCACGAAGTTACTTAATCAGGACCGGAATATGTATGTATATACATACAAATATGTATGTATCTACATATATGTACATATATATACACTCAGAAAGTTTAAAAAAATATGCATATCTTCTGTAACATCGATGGGCAAGCATCGTTAGTTTCGAACTTTTTGTGAGTAATCAGGTATTAAATAACTTACCGCCAACATCAGTTTTTTTAGTTCTTCACTGTTGCATTTCGCATCCTTTGGACCACCGTTATCAGCGAATATGTTAGTGCCGAGCGCCCGGCTTTTCCGTGCACCACAGTTCACACCACTACAGCCCGTGCAACAATCATGCGGCGGAAAATTATCCAGACCAGGCTCCTATTTTTTGGTTCATGTGATTAATTTGTTCTTTAGTTGTAGAAAAAATAAACATACGAAGCACTAGCGCAACAGGGCTTATTGGCAGCGCAACAGTGATGGGGCGCAATTTCATTTTCAACCACTGGCCATGCACAACAGAAGGGCCCCACGATCATGCGTTTTTGCATTATTTCTTACTATAGTAAGATTACTTGAAATGTGTAGCTAGAATTTGTAACATAATGTTCCCTAAAGTTCAGGAAGTTAATTGTGCGACTACTTACTTGGATAGGGAACATTTCTTTAAAATTTCGGCTTTTCAGCTCTCCTTGTCCCTGAGTTCCGCACCAAAAATTCGTTAAAAATCACGCATACTTGGGAACTGAGTTTGAAGTCTTTAATTTCTACGTAGACGAGGAACTTTCTTTTAAAATTTCAACTTTCTAGCGTTTTTGGTTACCAAGTTAGCAGTTTTCCTCCCAAAAATTTTCATAGGCTCATGCGAGAGAAACTCACGCCTGGGGACTGAATTTTAAATCTTCAAGCTGTACATGGGCTTGGAACATAATTTTAAAATTTCACCTCCCTGCTTTTTTGGTCCTCGAGTCAGCGATTTTCCCTCCATAAATTTCACATGCTCATACGCGGAGCCCAAACGCGCGTGAGGGTTGGTTTTGCGCTCATGGAGTGGCACGCGGCCGAGGGCAAACTGCTGGCAAAATTTTAGCACCACAGCTTACTTGGCTGCCGAATTGAAATATGGGTACAGAGGCGCACCCATACACACACACACATATATATATACATCTATACTCAGAAAACCCCTTGACAGTATGCGTTTTCGCATTGTACAAATGCAAAAAAAAACATAAAGAGCGTCAAGCTATTTATTTTCTAATAAGACCGTATCTGTCAATTTACGTCCTTCAGTTGGTCGCATTTAAATTAAAGTCATCGATTGAAAAACAAGAAATTAAACAGCGGAATGCTCAAGGGGCACTTGGTATTTGGGCTTCATCTCGCGACCTACAAAAGCTAAGGGCTGAAACTTTGAGAACTTAATCTACATACACGTACGGGACACATGCCCAAAATGGGCGGTCTTACACGTGTGGTACCCACGTACGGGCCCATGAGAGTTTTTTGCGGATAAGTGGCTAACTCGCGAACCAGAAAAGCTAGAAAGCTAAAATTTTAAGGGAATGTTCTCCGTCCACGTGAGTCCCAGTGGGCTCAAACTCAGCCCTCGGGTATGCGTGGTACCCACGCACGGCCTCGCCAAACTTTTTTTCTGGTAAGTTGATAACTCGAGAATTTGAAAAGCTAGAAGGCTGTAATTTTAAGAGAATATTCCCCACCCACCTATGTCTTACTAAGATCAAATCCAGACACTGGATATGCGTGGTACCCACGTACGGGCCTGTGAAATCTTTTCTGGGTAAGCTACTAACTCGGGAACCTGAAAAGCTAGAAAAATGGAATTTTAAGGGGATGTTTCCCATCCAAGTAGGTGTCAATGAGCTCAAACCCAGACACCGGATATGCGTGGTACCCACGTACGGGCTCGTGAAAGTTTTTTCCAAGTAAGTTGCTAACTCGAGAGCTAGGAAAACTAGAAAGCTGAAATTTTAAGGGGATGTTTCCTAACAGTTCTGGCGACCAATTTTAATTTGTTTAGCTAGAACCATTTGCCGGAAAAATCGATGCTGGTAGCGGCAAAAATTGCAGGGAACTATGCAAAAAACGCATCTTCGCACGGGCAGCCCTTGCGTTGGCCAATTATTAGTTTTTGGGTTTTGGAACCAGGTAGGAGAAAAAAGCGAAGCTGAAAGATAATTCCAGTTTTTTTTTTTTTTTTTTTTGCGTTAGACGAGGAAAAAAACTCGGAATTCCAGCTTTCTTGTTTTCCAAGCTTACTTATTCTGAAAGGTCACTTACGCATGCAGACAAATTCTTGTCGTAATTCATTTAGATGCACGGGAAATACGTAAAATTAAAATTTGCACCTGCAGTAAGGAAATTGATTGTACTGGCGGTGGCCTTATCGTTGGCAGTCGAAGCTCCTGAATGCCGGAGCCGGTGCTGATGCCGGTTCCACCAGTTAGTAAATCCAGCTGAGGTGATGGTATAGCAGGAGCACCTTCTGGTAACAGCAGGAATGGTGGATTTTTTTTGGGTGATTGCGTTGCGCTGCTCTGTTCAGTATTTTCTGGAGGGCACGGTGGAGGCGGAGGACATGGCGGCGGGGGTGGACAGGGCGGCGGTGGTGGACAGGAAGTTAGTTCAGCAGGCGGAGGTGATGATGATGGGTTGCGAATTGCTGAATTCGTCAAAAGATTCAAATCGGAAATGCCAGTTCCAGTCCCAGCACCACATTCTGCACTCTCGGAGTTACTACAGCTATTAGAATCACATTCAGATTCAGTCTCGGCAGCTGTTTTTGTAGCATTTGCTTTGACATCTACGCTACCATGGGTTGGTTGGTGATTACAACAGCAGTTTTCCCAGTTGTCATTAACTGCATTCTTATCTTTATCATCACTGCTGTCACTGTTTTTTTTGTTATCGTTGTTGCTGTCGCTGCTGTCATCGTCGTCATTGCAGTTACTGAAACAAGCAGTAGCTTGTTGCTGATGTTGGTGATGTGGCGGCGCAAATCCAGGGGGTTTTGAATGTCGTGTTTGTTTCCGACTTTCTGGAAGATTTGCGTCACATTCGCCTGCATCATTGCAGTGTTTATGCGCCAGCAGTATTGATGTAGTAAAGTTTAGGAGCAGCAATGGTGCGCAGGAAAACCAAAATTGCATCTGCAAAAAATGACCAGCATTATTTAAAATTTCCCAATGGCCAAAGGCTGGATTTAATTATCAACTTTATGATGAGGCGGATCGGCAGTGTACAATCCAGATCTGTTGTCAAGCAACCCCTCGCTGATGAAAAGTTGAAATGAGAATGCGGAGCGGATACTCTTTCCTTCAGCGAAGAATGAAGCCAGAATTTTTCAACATTAAAAAGCTAGATTGCAAAGTGCGAAAAATAATCTAATTTTGGCTCAGAATTTTAGGAACATGAGTGTTAGGCAGTTTGAAATTGTTTTCACCAAAATCCGTGAAATTGCAGATGTTCAGACTTGAAATGGAGAAAGACGTCAATAAGAAGCGTTAAATGGCAGCAAGGTTAAAACTGTTTCCCCGGAGCGTAAAAATTAATACAATCTGCTGTCAGTACCATTTTAGACAGGTGGCTCTAGCCAGAGAAAAGGTGTCGGAACTAGGGTGGAGTGTCTTACACCAACAATGTTCTCACAGATCGTGGTCTAACTCAGTCATCGGCTGATTCGACCTTTTTTTGCTGGAAAAACATGCTGAAATAAGGGAATAAACGACAAAAAGGATTTGGCCTGTAAATTTTTGTGATCCCCAGCATCAGTATGCAAAGAAGTTCGCCCCTCATCCTCGCAGCATTAATTAGACTTATTTTTCATTGACTATCCTTCGAAGACTTGTACTACTAATGAAAACCTAGGCTGGAACGCACCAGGCGAGCCGGTGCGATCATGCGTTTTTGCACCAGACTTGAAAT